ATCAAGAGAATTTGATCAAGATTCAATTGACTCAATAAATCATGCCTCAATCGATTATAATCAAACAATATAGCATCCAAAACTTCATACAAGAAAGATCCTAACACATGGAACTAGGGTTCCTCAAAACCTAAGTGAAGGGAAGTTACTCCATAGAGAAGAGAGAGACTGCAGAAATCTGATCTAGATCTTCAATCTCCATCTCCAATCTTGATTCCCGAGCTCCAATGGCGAAGAAATCCTCCAAAATAGCTCCAAGAATGTTCCCAAGTCGCTCTCTCTCTCTAGAGTTCGTCCCTTGGGTGTTTGGGAACCAAAACCCAGCTCTCCCTTTCCTATGGCTCGAATCTGCCTCAAAAACCCGATTCTGGGCGAATTACGGGCTGAATTACGGTCGTAATTCTTCCATGCCCGTATTTTGCCCACAACACGCGTTTTAGTTAAGTTTCAGCGCACCCAAAGCTCCTCTCGGCAGTGAAAATACGGGCATGGGAGGGGAAAATACGGTCGTAATTTTCCTGCCCGTAATTCTTCCTCTGCTCCTGTTCAAAGCTTCGTTTCTCCCTCGTCCGGACTCCAAATCAGTCGCCGTTTGAACCCAGACCCTCGTAGTCTCGTCCTATTTCTTTTCATAACAAGCTTGCATGATTATTTGTCCATAAAGTGAGGTAGAAATCCATTCTTCTTCAGGTCATGCCCGAGTTTCTTCTCCCTAATCGCCAATTGATCTCTGATTGACTTGAAACTTGCGCCTATGCTTCACTTTATGTGCTAGGACCTGAAATGTGACAAAGGAACACAACCTAGCATAAAATAGGCCAAAGCCGAGATAATTAAAGCTCAAACGATCAAGAAACAAAGGGGAAAACATGTGCAAATATCGAGTCATCAGGTAGATGCTCGCCACAACTAGACGTGTTCTCTAGTTGATAAGAGACACGTACAATATCCTAGAATTCTCGACAGAAGTCTTGCACAAACGAACTCGTTCGCAATGAACTTGAACTCAACTTTGATTAATAACTTGAATATTGGATACAAAATTCATAGCTCTTACACCCTCTATTTATAGAGGTCACAAAAACATAATACTAACCTAAAAGGAGTAGGAAAATAAATCCCAAATTAACTAGGAAACATAATACTACTTAAATAAGGACTATAACTCGTTTTTATAACCAAGGGAAGCTCCTTAGCAGCTAAGTAATCTCCAAACACATTTTTAATGGTTAAGGAAGCTCCTTAGTGGTTAAGCAATCTCTTTCCTTGTCCTTTTCATACTTGGACGCCTTGGGCTCCAAGAAATGTTGTAGGTCGGATCCTTAATGCATTCTCCATTTTATCCATCAAGAATGCTCTCAGTTGTCCTTAAATTGTTGAATTCAAACCTTCATTTTGGGACCACGAGAATTGAATATCGCGCTAGTCGATATCGCATCAAATTGTTAATAATGCATGCCGGCGTTAGGGAAGACCGACAAGCAATGATCGCTCGTTTTCTCCACGGTTTGAATCTCGTGGTTCGATAGGAAGTGGATCTTAGATCGTTTGTCAATTTAGAGGAAGCTGTTCACCTTGCAGTTAAGGTAAAAAAAAAAGCAGAAAATGTCAAAGAGATTTACTCTGACCAACAAGTCGGCGACAGAGGCGAGTCTTGATTCTAACTTCCAGCAATCGCGACCCGACCCCGGCAAATTGAATCCCAGGAACGTCACCCCCGCCCCTACTGAACGTTCTAGAGGAATCCAGTGCGCATTAAATGTCATGGGAGAGGACACAAAGCCAATCAATGTCTTAATTTGAAGACTCTGATCATTAGAGATGGAGAATATGTAACCGGTGACGAGAAGGATTCCAGTGACAGCGAAGCCGATGAGAATATCGTTATGGAGGCAAGTACTATGACTAGAAATATTTTCAAATTCATTCGGAGGGCCCTAACCATCGACACTCCGCCGATTTCCAATCAAAGCGAGAATCTGTTTCATTCTCGGTGCTTGGTTGCCAGGAATTTGTTGTTGTTGATTGTTGATGGAGGCAGTTGTGCCAATGCTGTGAGCTAGGACATTGTAGAGAAGCTTGGATTGACTGCGAATCGGCACCCTGACCCCTATAAATTAACTAGCTCGACAATTATGGCACAGTCCGAGTGACGAGACAAGCTAAGGTTAGTTTTGAGATTGGAGCTCACAAAGACGAGCTCGAATTCGACGTCGCTCCGATGCAAGTTGCTCACTTGCTTCTTGGGAGGCCGTGGCAATTCGATCGTGGTATTTGCCGCTATGGTGGAACGAATTGCTACAAAATTCGTCATGGCGGCAAGAAGATTTTGTTGAAGCCTCTGTCACTGGAGGAAGTTTGAGACGATCAACGTCAAATGGCGGCTAATCGTCGGCGATCCAATATTCTCACTCGGTGTTACATGTTTACTGGGTACAAGAAGGAAAGAAAGACTCGTCGACGACGGTCCTGCAAATCGTCGCAGGGATAGGGGAGGAGAGAGGGTGACTCCATAGGAGAGTTCGGGAAAGATTTGAACCCAACCAAAAGTACAGGCACATTCCAAGATTCGTTAGGAAGCTATTCCCTGGACCAGAATGGGTCTATTGAACCTACATTGTAGGATCCTATTCGAGCAAAATATGCTTTGGAAACGGGTAAACTCGACGCAAAATCAAGTCTATTGATTGGAGCGCTTGAAAACGATTCGACGCAGGCTACTAGTGCGAAATCGACAGGGGAGGATGCCCGAAGCTATAGGAAGTTTCAATTTCACTAGAAGATCTCTGAAATAGAAAATCCCAATGCCAAAATTGAATTTCTAGGGTAAGCACATTGAATGTCGATGGCGGGAAAGAAGAGATCGCCGATTCGATGATGGAGGAGATGATTCGAGGAATGAGATCGGTCCAGAAACTCAATTTGAAGTAAGGCAAATGCGATGGAGTCCACGAATTGAGCTTGAGATGCATGAATTCAAAAGCCCCAAATTCGACCACGAAGAATATTGCCCTGGTTTCCCAGAATTATCAGTTTGCGATCGATTTTGTGAAGCATTTGAGGAGAAGAAGGCCAAAGCTTTTTGAATAAGGGGGCTTGATACAATTCTAGAATGCATAATTTTCCATTCAGGAAACGGAACGTAGAATGTCATTAATAGTTTGTTCTGGTTCATGGTATGTATTGTGGGATGTTTGGACCTCCGAGCCTGATCTAGTCTAGACAGCAGTTTGTCTAATAAGACCATGGACCCAACTCCAATTAGATTTAGCCACCCACTCGATCACTCTCCCAAGTTCCCTAATGACACCCAAGTCTCAACCTTGATTTTGAAAATCTCGTCTCTTCTTCGCTCATAAATCACATTCCGCCCAATAGTGGAGATGATAGCATCTCTATATGAAATTATGTTAATGTTTTATGACATTACAGTGGAAGTAAGGTTGCTCGAACTTTATGTCATTGCCACTCTTATAGATTTAGGGCACCAAAATTATACACTTGTGTTTGAAGTTATGTTTTAAGATAAAAAAAAATTTTCTTGGTAATTAGTTCGATATTTTGGTGTGTTGGATAAAATAAATTGTTCAATTTTTTTTCAACATAATCGTACCGTACTGAACCGCATAGGCATGACATGGTCTAAATCGTATAATACTTTATCTCATCTATAATCTGTACTTCAGTTTGTCGATCCTGACCGTAAATCGTATATATGATGTGAAGCAAACCACATCATTTTTCAGCCCTAGTATCAACTATGTTTAGACATGTACACGAGTTGAGGTTTTGGTTATAGTAATTTCATTCTCGAACCCTATACTATGGTTTTAATAACATAAAATCCACATAAAAAAAGCTGAAACCATATTAGTTTGGTTAGATTGAGCCTCTGATATATTTGGATAAAAAATAATAAAATCACATAAGATACGCTAAAGAAAAGGGATAATGCAGTAAAAAAAATATTGCATCATAGGATTATCTTTAATTTTTTTTAAAAAAGAAAACATTAGACTTAAGCATTGGCACGTGTAGCTAAGGATGGACAATCCACTCTCAAGAGTTGAATGTCTTGGTTAAAAAATCAAATTTGACGGCCATCAAATGACTAATGTCTTCATAAAAATAAGTTTAATCAACACAAAAATTATAGGATAAATTAGTTAACTAAACAATAGTATGGAGGGAAAAAACAAAACAATAGAGATAATTGATAAAAACAACCCAGGCTATGATCCGGGTAGAAAACTAGTGAAAGGATAATATATATACGTAGACGTAGTCAAATAGTGATAATCTTCATAAGACCAGCCCACCCCACCCTGCCGTAGGGTATATGTCAGCATTGACTTTTGACTTTTTGGCTGCGGCAAATTAATTAATTACTGTTTGGTGGTTAAATAGCTAACTTTTCGGCACCCTCGTAATTTAGTCCTCTAGCTATAGCCCTTGGAAGCATCCTCGAAGAAATGGACTCCCTCCCTTTATTCTCAATTTCTGCTACCTTAGACGAAATTGTAACATACGTATTATGTATACAAATTAGAAGGCAGGCCAATGAAACCTAATTTTGTTGACAATATTGGACTAATGTGGACTTAAACAAATCAATATTTGGACTACTTAATAATAATATAGACCCAATTGAAGCTAGCTTACTTTGAATATCAATGAGACATGTATACTAGGACGAAAATTGAACATACTAGGAGATATATACGTTGCATGTGTACAAGAACAAGCATTATATATAGATCCTACCTACCCCAACCTCTTAAAATGTTTGGTCCAAAACCAACAAAGGAAAAATTCCTTCGGGTAGCGTAGCAACTGCATGCCCTTCCGCAATAGTATCTCTATATATTTCGTTGCTCCCTTGCTCCTAATTCTTCACACCACCCACCATCAAACCTCTATCCTACTACTTTACAAGCAAAACCACAACTTACCTAGCTAGCTCACTCTAAGAAAAAAAAAACACGCAACCTCGAAAACAAATGAAGGCGGCATTATCAACAAATGCAATGCTACTACTCTTAGTTCTAGTAGTACTCTCCCCCATCACTCCCCCATCCGCCTTCGCGGCCCGATCACTGGCCGAAACCCTGCCCACACCGTGGCAGACCTCGACCAGATCGCTCGCAGAGACCCTAGCCACCTCGTCGCAGACCCCACTCCCCGTTCTGGACGTGGGCGGGAAAGTGGTCCGTTCGGGAAGCAACTACTACATCCTGCCCGCGGTCAGCGGTGAGGGAGGCGGTCTGGCTCTAGCCAGCCAGACCAGCGACCCGGAGGACTGCCCGCTGACCGTGGTCCAGGACGAGGACGAGATCTCGCAGGGGCTCCCGCTCACTTTCGGGCCCGTCAACACCAAGACGGGCTACACGGTCCGCACTTTCACGGACCTGAACGTCCGGTTCGTGGCGGACACTCAGTGCGACGAGGGCACGGTGTGGAAGGTGAGCGACTACGACGACGACCTGGAGCAGTGGTTCGTTGGGACAGGAGGGGTCGAAGGGAACCCCGGCCCGAGGACGGTTCAGAACTGGTTCAAGATCTGGAAGTACGGCTCCAACTACAAGCTCGTCTACTGTCCCGCGGTGTGCAAGTCGTGCAAGGTGGATTGCAAGGATGTCGGGATCTATGTGGATGAGAATGGCGGGAGGAAGTTGGCCCTTGTTGAAAAAGATGGAGATCCTTTTGTGATCAAGTTTGTGAAGGCTGATTGAAGAGAAACTTCGATTGTGTTCCTAACTGAATGAGCTAGTATAGCTCGTTAATGTTGTGGACATTCCCTTATAGTATTGCGAATTAGTTATATGTATCGAATTTCTATGTGGTTTGGAAGATTGGAATAAGAGCTAGCTATCCATGCTCAATTTGGAGGCCAGGGCCATGCATGCATGGCTACTACTTCCATTGATTTCTTTTGTCGTAGAAAGTTAAATCAAAATTAATTAATGACAATTTGTTATCAGTTTCGTCTTGATTTTGAAGATTATATAATGAAGGATCTTCCATGATATGGTTTTCTTGGATTGATTTTAGAAGTATATATACTATTCAGCATTGAAATGCGACTCAAATTATCACAATGTCTTTTTCTACCTTTTGATATGCTACTAGGTTGTAGAGAAATCAATATCGTCCTCCTTTTTCCTTCTACGTCTCCAGAGTGTTCCATCCGCTAGGCTAGAGTTAGAGATGACCATCTTTAGAGTAGCTTCTTCATTCTTTTTTGCACTTCTTCGCTCTATTTGCTTCATTATTTTTAAGCTTCTTCTTCCTTTCTCATTTCACCACACTAGGTTTTATACTTTACCATGTGTTGTTGATGAAAGTTTAGAAATGAGAGGTAGATGCAATGATATTGGTTCTTAAACTTGTGATTCTAGACAAGTGTGAGATATCTTGCTACATTTACATTTAACTCTTAGGTGCTAAACAGAGCCTCAACGGTCGCCTTATGCTTAGCGCTTTCTTGAACCTTGCTTACTAGTATAACTTCACTTGACATCCCTAATTGGGGCTTACACTCTCTTTGGAGCACTAAATCGTATGAAAATTTTCCTACTGGAAAATTAGGGAGAAATTAAAGATACGTGGAAAATTAGAGAAATTAAAGATTGGTCATTGGAATAATAAAAGTTTTTTTTTCCATTAGATAGAAATTAAAGATAGGTCATTGCAGTAATAAAAAATTTGTTAAAGATTGGTCATTGGAATAATAAAAGTTTTTTTTTCCATTAGATAGAAATTAAAGATAGGTCATTGAAGTAATAAAAAATTTGTTAGAAGATTTGCTAAAATATATATGAACAGCTCCCAGCGAGGATCGAACTCGCAACCTTTCGCTTACGAAGCGAACGCACTACCACTATGCTATGGAAGCAAGCATTATTTTTCTTTGGAAAACAATATTTAGTAATCATATATGTTACTTTTTGTTTCCTTGTCATGTAACATATAGTAGCACCTCCCTGACAGATGGAGGCATTTCCCTAATTGTAGGGAGGTTAGTGTCGTTTTGAGGCTATCTAGCGGACATCCTGGCTTACCTCCACAAATCCACCCCTTGGACGTCTAGGCCGCCTATTATGACCCAGCAGGCCGGGTTTAACCTGGCTGTTGTGTCCACGAGTAAGCGTTCATCGTAAAAAAAAATTATGTATAATAAGAAAAACCGACTTCACTTAATTAATTACAATAATGGAACTCCTAATTCTCAATGATCTCTCCTTAAATTCCTAACTAAACATATATTATTAGTAAATATCCTCCTAACTAGCTCCAAATCAGCTAATTAAGGTCGTGAGTACTAATCACTATTTAATGAAATGCTTCTCTGTGCACTTACATAGTGGTGGTAAAATATTTACCGGTTACTGATTATATCGTTAACCGGTTACAGCAGTTTCGAACGATAATCAGGGGCCTATTACATGTTCTGGTTTACCGGTAATCAATGGTGGTAACCACCGTGTTAACCAGATACCGACAACTAAACGACAATACCACCACCTACTCCATTTTAAACCCTCCCCTCCCCTGCTTCTCTTCATTCTTTTTCTTCCTTGAATCTCACCCACTCCGCCAGCCCCATTTTCAACCCTCCCCTCCCCTGCTTCTCTTGATTCTTCTTCTGCCTTAACTCTCAGCGTTACACCATTCTTCCCACCCTCCTCTCCCCTCTGCCGCCAATCAATTCCTCTACTTTCACCTCCGTTCTTGCAAATTCTCCAACCACATAACCCTTCTTCTCCCACATCCCCTATGTTATGCCGCAAATATGAAGCAGTGGATATGGATTCAGATCTAAATGCATAGCTACCTCCTCCATGATGATCGTCAATTCAGAAAAGATATATGTGGTTGAATGGCTTGTGCCTAGAAAGACGGAAGAGAGAAGGGTGAATGTGAGAAGAAGCCTGCATTTGCTCCGGCGACTGCAACAGGGAGAGGAGAAGGATGACGACCGGGAACGTTGTCTTCGTCTACAAGATGACATGCATCTCCTTTCTCCACTCCTCCTCTGCTCTACAACGTCATCGCTACATCTACCTTCACTAAACATCGCATCCGTTTTCAGAGGCATCTCCCAGCATCATCTTTAATGGTCATCTCACTCGCCGTCGACATCAACTTCCTGAGCAACATCACCGTAGCGTCCCAATCACTGACATTAACCATCGAATCAACTGCAATCTAGCCACCATCGAGATCTGATTGGTCATCTTCACCGTCGCCGCCAACATCAAGGTCCGGGTGCCAGCCATCGTTGTCTTTAGTCGTAACAAGCAGTCATATTCCCCATCTCTGTCAATGCTCTGTTTTTCGTGGAAGAAGGAAAGTACATTGCGGCATTGGGAAAGAGATACAAGAAAGGGAAAGATCTAATGGAGAAGTAAGGTTCGCTTTAGGTGGAGACGTGGAGTTTTGATAGAAAGAGAAAAAGAGGAATCGTGAGAAGAAGATTAATCGTTTGATGGCAAGATGGGGGTTCTATTTGGGAAGAAGCGGCGAAGAAGACTAATGTGGAGAGTTTATAATGGTGAGCCGGCTAACCATTTGCTAACCGATAACTGGTTAAATGGTTTCCTTCTGGTACCGATATTTGGCAGTGGTTTGGAGGAAAACGGTTAGTCGGGAACTAGTTAAACCGGTAACCGGCGATTATCACACCTACACTTACATTATCTGAATTGGGGGAACAAAATATTTGTTCGTAAATATTTATGAAACTATTAAAATTGTATGTATATGGTTCCCAATAATTAATCTTCCGTAATAGTCGAGCTGTTCAACTTCCCAAAGGACCGAAGTTAGCTTCTCATCAAGTTCGACGACTAAAATGAACCGCATTCTTCCGAGTTTACAGTTCCATCACTACACAAGAACCCAGTAGAACCATCCACGCAGCACTGCACTATCTAAATCAAACAACTGTTTTTGAAGAAATTGCGGCAGCTTTGTTTCCCTATCATCGTCGCCAAAGATGACGTTGTACTGCAACCATTGCTTCTTCGTCCTTTTCTACTACTATAGCGAAGATTATGGAATTCTTAAACCTTTTTTACTGCATGCATGATGCAGCCTTTGTACAGTGTGCAAGAAGGTGTTGGGTACATTTGGCGACGTGGAGATGGACGATGAAAATCAGTCTTCTTCTTCATCGCCATTGATTCGGGTCCAATTGTACACATTTTACCCCTCATTTCTTGATAGTTTGGCTTTGTATTTCATCGTCCCTAGACATATTTCGCGCTAGTTTGTGCTTGTTTTGATACATTTCAGGTCCTAGAACGTGTGGAAGGGTCGAGGACGAGTTTCGGGACGATTGGAGGTCGAAAAGCGCAGAAACCGAAGAAAAGTCCATAGTTGAAGTTTAGGAAGCAGTTGCAGTTCACGGCGGAAGCAATCAGTTCACGGTCACACAAGACCGTGAATTGGAGTCACGAATCATGAACTGGCGAGGTTCTAGAGAGTTTTCAGAGGTTACTGACGCCGAGTCAGTTCACGGTCACAAGACCGTGAACTGAAGCCATGGACAGTGAACTGGCTTAATGAAACGACGCGTCTTGGCCTGAGTTCACGGCCCCCGCCATTAGTTCATGGCCGTGAACTGGGCGCAACTGGGTATAAATAGAGAGCTGAAAGGAGGAAGAAAGTGAGCTTTTCCTAGGGTTTAGTTTTCAGAATAAAGGAGGGTTTCTAGTGAGAGATTAGGGTTTCCTCTTCCCATTCTAGAGAGAGAAAGTGCAATTCAAAGGAGGAAGAAGGAGATTGGGATTGTCCTAAGCTAGAGGAGTGAAGATTCTTACCTCTCAAGGAGGATTCAAGCAAACGGGAAAGGAGATTGGCATCTCTTCATGGTCCTTTCTCTCATTTTTCTTGTTTTCCTTTTCCTAGCTATGGAATAGCCTCCCTACTCACTTGGGTATTGTGAACCCTAGTCTATATGTGTGTTAGGATGTAAGAACATGACTCCATGTGTGTTGATTGAATGTTTATATAATATTTGAGGTATTTTTCATGAATGAATGAATGTGCTAGCTTTAACTCATGATTGGGTTATTTTGACCTAGTTGGAGAGAATCTCCTTGTTAAAAGAGGCTTTGAGAAGTTGGATTCTTGGTCAATTTGTGTCACCCACCTAGGCAAATTAGGACAATCCTTAAATTAATCATGATTAGTGAGTGTTGCGTGCATTATATCATTGTTTGGCCAAAATTAACCTAGAGTGTGGAAATCCCCCTTTGGCCCATAGGGAGCTTGGCCTCCTAGCCTCTCGGGTAACCCCTTCTAGGTTAATCTAGGGCCAAAACCTCAAGTATCGGAGTAGTACCATGATTGGTTTCTCTCCGTCGTCCGGCTTAAGTTTTGAAGGATTGGTTTGCAATCCTTAGTCGACCGGTTTAGCGGTGCTAGATCGTGTAGCCTATTGTTGTCATCCTTAACCGAAAGGTGAAGAGAGTTAGACTACTTTTTGATGCAACAATCTTAAATTGGTCAACTAAGAGAGTTAGGGTTTCTTCAGTTGGTCTGTTAAGAGAACTAGATTCTCTAGCTTATTGTCACAAGCCTTAATCGATCGACTGGGAGAGTTTGCCCTAACTAGTTGCACCCTCCTAACGGTATATGAACACATCCTTCACACTAAAGTTTCGTTCATGCTTTCTTAATATGAGACTAGGGGAAGCAATACCAAAGTGAAGTTCTCTCATATAGAATTCCCCTCGATTACTTCCCTTGTTTGTGCATTTTGTAGTTTTCTTAGTTTTAAACCCAAACCCGTTTGCTAGATAACAACCTAAGCGATTGAAGTAGGGGTATATGGACCGTCTCGGGTTTGACAATTAAAACATACTTGCCCTATATTGCACCTGGCTAGAGTTTATGTTTGAGCTCTAGTCGGGATTAATTCGCGGTGTATCTGTGGTAAGTCAGCCATCGGTGTCCGTGGTAGGGCACAAGAGTGATCATAGTGAGACACTCGGGGTTGATTAATGGAATAAATCATGTAGGAGAGAAAAAAATTCATTTCAAAGTAGTGCTAGCTTGTTAATAAAGAGCATCAACTTCAATATAATTGCAAAACCAATTGCATATGAGGTTTCTATTGCATCTAAATATTTGCAATTCAACTCATATTAATGTCATTTCATCTACGTCAATACAATCAACTTGAAATTTCATATTTAATGAAATGTTATATTTAGTTTATGAGAATATAAAAGTAAAAGAGAAAAAAATAAAAGAAAATATAGAATCCTCATTTTAAGGTCATTTTGACTTGCATATTGAATTGCATTTGTTGCAAACTTGCACATAAGTAATGGTTAGTCATATTAATGAAATTGATTTTGAAATTGCAAACACTCATGCCATATCATCTTGCTAACCGATAACTGGTTAAATGGTTTCCTTCTGGTACCGATATTTGGCAGTGGTTTGGAGGAAAACGGTTAGTCGGGAACTAGTTAAACCGGTAACCGGCGATTATCACACCTACACTTACATTATCTGAATTGGGGGAACAAAATATTTGTTCGTAAATATTTATGAAACTATTAAAATTGTATGTATATGGTTCCCAATAATTAATCTTCCGTAATAGTCGAGCTGTTCAACTTCCCAAAGGACCGAAGTTAGCTTCTCATCAAGTTCGACGACTAAAATGAACCGCATTCTTCCGAGTTTACAGTTCCATCACTACACAACAACCCAGTAGAACCATCCACGCAGCACTGCACTATCTAAATCAAACAACTGTTTTTTGAAGAAATTGCGGCAGCTTTGTTTCCCTATCATCGTCGCCAAAGATGACGTTGTACTGCAACCATTGCTTCTTCGTCCTTTTCTACTACTATAGCGAAGATTATGGAATTCTTAAACCTTTTTTACTGCATGCATGATGCAGCCTTTGTACAGTGTGCAAGAAGGTGTTGGGTACATTTGGCGACGTGGAGATGGACGATGAAAATCAGTCTTCTTCTTCATCGCCATTGATTCGGGTCCAATTGTACACATTTTACCCCTCATTTCTTGATAGTTTGGCTTTGTATTTCATCGTCCCTAGACATATTTCGCGCTAGTTTGTGCTTGTTTTGATACATTTCAGGTCCTAGAACGTGTGGAAGGGTCGAGGACGAGTTTCGGGACGATTGGAGGTCGAAAAGCGCAGAAACCGAAGAAAAGTCCATAGTTGAAGTTTAGGAAGCAGTTGCAGTTCACGGCGGAAGCAATCAGTTCACGGTCACACAAGACCGTGAATTGGAGTCACGAATCATGAACTGGCGAGGTTCTAGAGAGTTTTCAGAGGTTACTGACGCCGAGTCAGTTCACGGTCACAAGACCGTGAACTGAAGCCATGGACAGTGAACTGGCTTAATGAAACGACGCGTCTTGGCCTGAGTTCACGGCCCCCGCCATTAGTTCATGGCCGTGAACTGGGCGCAACTGGGTATAAATAGAGAGCTGAAAGGAGGAAGAAAGTGAGCTTTTCCTAGGGTTTAGTTTTCAGAATAAAGGAGGGTTTCTAGTGAGAGATTAGGGTTTCCTCTTCCCATTCTAGAGAGAGAAAGTGCAATTCAAAGGAGGAAGAAGGAGATTGGGATTGTCCTAAGCTAGAGGAGTGAAGATTCTTACCTCTCAAGGAGGATTCAAGCAAACGGGAAAGGAGATTGGCATCTCTTCATGGTCCTTTCTCTCATTTTTCTTGTTTTCCTTTTCCTAGCTATGGAATAGCCTCCCTACTCACTTGGGTATTGTGAACCCTAGTCTATATGTGTGTTAGGATGTAAGAACATGACTCCATGTGTGTTGATTGAATGTTTATATAATATTTGAGGTATTTTTCATGAATGAATGAATGTGCTAGCTTTAACTCATGATTGGGTTATTTTGACCTAGTTGGAGAGAATCTCCTTGTTAAAAGAGGCTTTGAGAAGTTGGATTCTTGGTCAATTTGTGTCACCCACCTAGGCAAATTAGGACAATCCTTAAATTAATCATGATTAGTGAGTGTTGCGTGCATTATATCATTGTTTGGCCAAAATTAACCTAGAGTGTGGAAATCCCCCTTTGGCCCATAGGGAGCTTGGCCTCCTAGCCTCTCGGGTAACCCCTTCTAGGTTAATCTAGGGCCAAAACCTCAAGTATCGGAGTAGTACCATGATTGGTTTCTCTCCGTCGTCCGGCTTAAGTTTTGAAGGATTGGTTTGCAATCCTTAGTCGACCGGTTTAGCGGTGCTAGATCGTGTAGCCTATTGTTGTCATCCTTAACCGAAAGGTGAAGAGAGTTAGACTACTTTTTGATGCAACAATCTTAAATTGGTCAACTAAGAGAGTTAGGGTTTCTTCAGTTGGTCTGTTAAGAGAACTAGATTCTCTAGCTTATTGTCACAAGCCTTAATCGATCGACTGGGAGAGTTTGCCCTAACTAGTTGCACCCTCCTAACGGTATATGAACACATCCTTCACACTAAAGTTTCGTTCATGCTTTCTTAATATGAGACTAGGGGAAGCAATACCAAAGTGAAGTTCTCTCATATAGAATTCCCCTCGATTACTTCCCTTGTTTGTGCATTTTGTAGTTTTCTTAGTTTTAAACCCAAACCCGTTTGCTAGATAACAACCTAAGCGATTGAAGTAGGGGTATATGGACCGTCTCGGGTTTGACAATTAAAACATACTTGCCCTATATTGCACCTGGCTAGAGTTTATGTTTGAGCTCTAGTCGGGATTAATTCGCGGTGTATCTGTGGTAAGTCAGCCATCGGTGTCCGTGGTAGGGCACAAGAGTGATCATAGTGAGACACTCGGGGTTGATTAATGGAATAAATCATGTAGGAGAGAAAAAAATTCATTTCAAAGTAGTGCTAGCTTGTTAATAAAGAGCATCAACTTCAATATAATTGCAAAACCAATTGCATATGAGGTTTCTATTGCATCTAAATATTTGCAATTCAACTCATATTAATGTCATTTCATCTACGTCAATACAATCAACTTGAAATTTCATATTTAATGAAATGTTATATTTAGTTTATGAGAATATAAAAGTAAAAGAGAAAAAAATAAAAGAAAATATAGAATCCTCATTTTAAGGTCATTTTGACTTGCATATTGAATTGCATTTGTTGCAAACTTGCACATAAGTAATGGTTAGTCATATTAATGAAATTGATTTTGAAATTGCAAACACTCATGCCATATCATCTTGCTAACCGATAACTGGTTAAATGGTTTCCTTCTGGTACCGATATTTGGCAGTGGTTTGGAGGAAAACGGTTAGTCGGGAACTAGTTAAACCGGTAACCGGCGATTATCACACCTACACTTACATTATCTGAATTGGGGGAACAAAATATTTGTTCGTAAATATTTATGAAACTATTAAAATTGTATGTATATGGTTCCCAATAATTAATCTTCCGTAATAGTCGAGCTGTTCAACTTCCCAAAGGACCGAAGTTAGCTTCTCATCAAGTTCGACGACTAAAATGAACCGCATTCTTCCGAGTTTACAGTTCCATCACTACACAAGAACCCAGTAGAACCATCCACGCAGCACTGCACTATCTAAATCAAACAACTGTTTTTGAAGAAATTGCGGCAGCTTTGTTTCCCTATCATCGTCGCCAAAGATGACGTTGTACTGCAACCATTGCTTCTTCGTCCTTTTCTACTACTATAGCGAAGATTATGGAATTCTTAAACCTTTTTTACTGCATGCATGATGCAGCCTTTGTACAGTGTGCAAGAAGGTGTTGGGTACATTTGGCGACGTGGAGATGGACGATGAAAATCAGTCTTCTTCTTCATCGCCATTGATTCGGGTCCAATTGTACACATTTTACCCCTCATTTCTTGATAGTTTGGCTTTGTATTTCATCGTCCCTAGACATATTTCGCGCTAGTTTGTGCTTGTTTTGATACATTTCAGGTCCTAGAACGTGTGGAAGGGTCGAGGACGAGTTTCGGGACGATTGGAGGTCGAAAAGCGCAGAAACCGAAGAAAAGTCCATAGTTGAAGTTTAGGAAGCAGTTGCAGTTCACGGCGGAAGCAATCAGTTCACGGTCACACAAGACCGTGAATTGGAGTCACGAATCATGAACTGGCGAGGTTCTAGAGAGTTTTCAGAGGTTACTGACGCCGAGTCAGTTCACGGTCACAAGACCGTGAACTGAAGCCATGGACAGTGAACTGGCTTAATGAAACGACGCGTCTTGGCCTGAGTTCACGGCCCCCGCCATTAGTTCATGGCCGTGAACTGGGCGCAACTGGGTATAAATAGAGAGCTGAAAGGAGGAAGAAAGTGAGCTTTTCCTAGGGTTTAGTTTTCAGAATAAAGGAGGGTTTCTAGTGAGAGATTAGGGTTTCCTCTTCCCATTCTAGAGAGAGAAAGTGCAATTCAAAGGAGGAAGAAGGAGATTGGGATTGTCCTAAGCTAGAGGAGTGAAGATTCTTACCTCTCAAGGAGGATTCAAGCAAACGGGAAAGGAGATTGACATCTCTTCATGGTCCTTTCTCTCATTTTTCTTGTTTTCCTTTTCCTAGCTATGGAATAGCCTCCCTACTCACTTGGGTATTGTGAACCCTAGTCTATATGTGTGTTAGGATGTAAGAACATGACTCCATGTGTGTTGATTGAATGTTTATATAATATTTGAGGTATTTTTCATGAATGAATGAATGTGCTAGCTTTAACTCATGATTGGGTTATTTTGACCTAGTTGGAGAGAATCTCCTTGTTAAAAGAGGCTTTGAGAAGTTGGATTCTTGGTCAATTTGTGTCACCCACCTAGGCAAATTAGGACAATCCTTAAATTAATCATGATTAGTGAGTGTTGCGTGCATTATATCATTGTTTGGCCAAAATTAACCTAGAGTGTGGAAATCCCCCTTTGGCCCATAGGGAGCTTGGCCTCCTAGCCTCTCGGGTAACCCCTTCTAGGTTAATCTAGGGCCAAAACCTCAAGTATCGGAGTAGTACCATGATTGGTTTCTCTCCGTCGTCCGGCTTAAGTTTTGAAGGATTGGTTTGCAATCCTTAGTCGACCGGTTTAGCGGTGCTAGATCGTGTAGCCTATTGTTGTCATCCTTAACCGAAAGGTGAAGAGAGTTAGACTACTTTTTGATGCAACAATCTTAAATTGGTCAACTAAGAGAGTTAGGGTTTCTTCAGTTGGTCTGTTAAGAGAACTAGATTCTCTAGCTTATTGTCACAAGCCTTAATCGATCGACTGGGAGAGTTTGCCCTAACTAGTTGCACCCTCCTAACGGTATATGAACACATCCTTCACACTAAAGTTTCGTTCATGCTTTCTTAATATGAGACTAGGGGAAGCAATACCAAAGTGAAGTTCTCTCATATAGAATTCCCCTCGATTACTTCCCTTGTTTGTGCATTTTGTAGTTTTCTTAGTTTTAAACCCAAACCCGTTTGCTAGATAACAACCTAAGCGATTGAAGTAGGGGTATATGGACCGTCTCGGGTTTGACAATTAAAACATACTTGCCCTATATTGCACCTGGCTAGAGTTTATGTTTGAGCTCTAGTCGGGATTAATTCGCGGTGTATCTGTGGTAAGTCAGCCATCGGTGTCCGTGGTAGGGCACAAGAGTGATCATAGTGAGACACTCGGGGTTGATTAATGGAATAAATCATGTAGGAGAGAAAAAAATTCATTTCAAAGTAGTGCTAGCTTGTTAATAAAGAGCATCAACTTCAATATAATTGCAAAACCAATTGCATATGAGGTTTCTATTGCATCTAAATATTTGCAATTCAACTCATATTAATGTCATTTCATCTACGTCAATACAATCAACTTGAAATTTCATATTTAATGAAATGTTATATTTAGTTTATGAGAATATAAAAGTAAAAGAGAAAAAAATAAAAGAAAATATAGAATCCTCATTTTAAGGTCATTTTGACTTGCATATTGAATTGCATTTGTTGCAAACTTGCACATAAGTAATGGTTAGTCATATTAATGAAATTGATTTTGAAATTGCAAACACTCATGCCATATCATCTTGCAATTGGAAATTCAAGACCAATGTGGATGCTCTAAGTAGTTTAGTATAATATGATCAAGTGCATGATCTCGTGTAGTATGAGTATGCAAATTTACCTCGTCCGCAGAATAGGATCTTATTCGTTAGAGTCTCTCACGACCACTTAGTCAAGTTGTGAGGACGAGTGTTATGGTTTACAGGAATGCGGACGTTGAGGTTTCTCCGGGGTTGAAGTTCTCATTGATTTTTACAAAACGAAAAATAAGACTGTGCGGGAAAAGTAAATCTAGGTTGAGGGATGGTGAAGGACACGAATGGTAATGAAAGTAGTTACGAAACATGATAAGTACATGGGTTTGCAACGATGGTGGCACGTTTAAGGGAAAAGTCTTTTACGGGATGCTGGTTAAGATAAGGAAAAAAAACTCATAGGCATGAAGGAGAAAACAATGTCAATCGCAACGAAATAAGTCCTTATAAAATTGGTGGATCAGGCGTAGTTTACCTATGGAATGTTGTCTTTTCTGATCCCATAAGGAATCATCTCGGGTGCCAGAGTGTCATCTCCAACTTTGGGTGGGGCCTACGTGGATGAAATGTCGTACATGCAAGATTAGATGGAAAAAATTGTGTCATTAGAAGAGTGAATAGTTGGGGTTTGAAGTACTACCCTAGACAATCATTACTAAAGGCATCGGTTGGTTATAGACTGAGCTTCGTGTGGCGAACCTTAGCGTGCATGATCTGTGTCGAAAAGGCTTGTGTTGGTGTGTCAACACCGATTCGAGCATAATAATATGGGGAGATTTATCGCTCACATTGATGGAAAGTGAGTCTCCATCACTTTTTATATTTGGATAATTAAGTTTGTTTAATGACATTTTGGATATTATTTAGGTATTTAGGTTCTTTTGGGGGGATTTTTTTCGAGTTATTTGACTTTTATGTCGTGAGGAATAATTAGGGGGTAGTTGTTAGGAATTATGTGGGTTATATATTATGTCACCCTTAATTGAATTAGCAAGATTAATCAGAATAACAGAACTCCCGTAACATACTCCCTCTCTCATCCTGTCTCTCTGCAACTCAGCCATATCCCATATTTTTCTCCTCATGTCCTTCTTCACTAAGTCTTTCTTTGAAATCTCTAATTTTATTCTCATGTCTCCCCTACATCCCTACTATATCTATCAATGCCCAGTTCTCTTACCCGCATATCGAGTCTGTATATCCGGGTTTCCATCAATTGGTATCAGAGCAGGTTGGGTGCTCAGATTCTTGAAGAATAGGCAAGATGGTTGCATCACATGAGAAGAATGCTTAGGGGAAGAAGATTGCATCCCCAAGCGGATCTCCCCAGGAGAAGATTAATATCGAGGATATTATAGGTTCTTGTCTCCATGGTGGATCACCAGATCAAGCTAGACGGTTGTTTGCAGGAGGTGGTTTGGCCCTCAAACAAACTACCGAAAGATCTACAGAATACTTGAAAGAGTTTCAACAGTTTGTGTTATGACTGATGTAGAAGGCGATGGGGATGAGAGAAGAGCTATGGTGGTGGTAGTTGAGGCGATCCGGCTGCTAGTGTCACCCATCCTAGCAGTGACTGTGGCGACGAGCCGACGATGATGTTGGCATCTCCCTTATCGACGGTAATGGAGAGTAGGGCGACGAAGGCTGCGGAGGCAAGGGAAGCGAAGAAGGATGATGATCGTGCTGCCCTAGAGGATACTATGGAAAATTGTGTGGGACAAGTTGTTGGCTTGTTACGGTCCCAAAGCCTAGAGCAGGCCTGTTACCCAGTCCTAGTGCGTAGAAGATTGTTGCGGTCCACAGTAAGGCCAAGTTGCTGGGTTATGAGTTCGTGGGCCTTGAGGATGAGTTGTTGAGCATATGAGCACAAAGTGGAAGTAGGCCAATGTCATTTAACCCTATCAGACTATGGTTGAATATGGGCCAACTTGGGCCAGTTAGGATAGGACTTGGGGACACAGAAAATTCAAATCACATGGGTTGACCAAAACTAGTACATATCAGTCAAACAAGAATCAGACCAAACCAATCTGAACCCGACCAACCAGTAGGGGAATCAGCAGTTTTGAAGGGTAGAAGGGCCTCGATGGTGGGGGAAGACTCAATATACCCACCCATCACTACAAGAAAACAGTCTTTTAGTGTCGATTATTTTATATATTTTGTGTCGGGTATAACCGACACTAAACAAATTTGTGTCAGTTCACTTAACCGGCACGAAAGTCAGCGACACTAAACAAATTTGTCTCGGTTTAGAGCAACCATCGGAGTAACCGACGCCAATCATTTGTGTCGGTTAATTTGTGTCGATTTTAACCAACTTCAATTGTTTTTCAGAAAATCTATTTTTGGAATTAAATTAAATAGTTGTGTCGGTTAAACCGACTCAAAACAACCAACACTAAATTATCCAATTTTAAAAAAATAGCTTCCAATCGTCACCGCTTAAGCGGATCCGATAGGCCGCCGTGTTCTCTCCGATCATCATCGTTCATCTGGTCAATAGCAAATAAAACAACAAAACGGGCTTTTCCTCTATTCTTTATTCACAAACCTAGAAAATGCAACCCACTACCCCAATAATTACAACCCTTTGAAACCCATAAAATGCAACTCCAAACCCAGCAAACAAAGAAACGCAAAAACCCAAACAGAATCCAATCTTATCCAAACTAACCAATCCTATAATTGCTCATTCTCAAACCCAGAATCGGAACCCCCAAACAATAACTCACAAAAAATTGCAAGCATCAGAATCCTTCTCCCACCGTCGTTGTTAGTCTCCTACCCAGCCTTGTGCTCATCGATCTCCCCCTCCGCCACATCTCCTCCTCCCTCCGTCGGATCACCCTAATCCCTACCTCGTTGATACCCCCGCCTATGCCGAAGAAAAACCTACTGAAAATGCATATTTACTCTTCGATTTTCATATCCCGACGTCGCCTCTCGATCTCCCCGCCATGGTCGTCGGATCTCACCGCCATCGTCTCCTTTTGATCCCTCCATCATCGCCGCCTCTCGATCTCTGCCCGTCGTCTCTCGATCTCTCCGCCATCCTCACCTTTTGATCTCTCCGCCAACATCGTCGGATCTCTCTGCCATCACCGTCAGATCTCACCAATCGTTAGGGGGGAAAGTGTTGGCAGATATGGGAATTATTAGGAGCCTTATATTTTGTCAGAATTCAAACCCACTAGAATCGTGTCGGTTAGACTAATAATCGACACAAATTCATGAAAATATGTCTGTTAG